CTAACCATTCTATGATTCTATTTGGTGGAATGTGAGCCTGTAAAGGAGTTATAGAAGTTAAATTTTCAGCTGAATAAACTTTGGATTTTTAGCACAAATTAATACTCCTAGGTTTTGCCTGTCTGTTTAGTGAGCTAGTGTTACCTACATACTGTTGCTGGAACAGAAGGTCAAAGCCTGGCAATTCCATATCAGTCTGACTTGGCCCTTTTTCCCCTTGCACATAAGCACAGTGAGCGTTATGGTGTCTAAGTGAAGTTCATATGGCAGGCAACCCCCCCACGTATGGGGCGATGTTACTAAAAATAGGTCTTGGGAATGCTCATTGGAGTGGCTACCAGCACACAGTAATTTCCAGTGTGCTGTGCAACCTTCCATCGAAAGAACTGGTTTTTCTTTGGTTAGTAGTTTGCAGTGTATACTGAATAACGTCGTTGCCTGTAGCTGTATCAGGTGATCTGCCTTGTCAAGACGCAGATCGGCTTTTTAATCACTTAATGAAGTCTGATACCTTGTAGAATTATTCTGTTAGTCCGTATGTAGACGACTAGCTTCTGCATTACAGCTTCTGCGCTTGTATCCAGGAGGAGCAGTCTTATGTGGTGTATCAGTAAACTTTTCTCTTTCAGGCCACTGTCATGAGAAAAACACAGGTGGCAGTCATGACAAGGAGAAATATTTCGATGACCAGCATGAGTCAGTTACAGCAGTGACAGAAGGACACTCCGAGGGAGGTGCAGAAGATCCAGAAGTCCTTACTCAGAGTTCAGCAAGGGATCCCTCCTTCTTGAGACTGGAAAGTAAGTCGACCTTACAAAACCAGTTCTGGCTAATGAATTGGTTTCTAGATTTTTCAGAAGAGCTGTTTTTCTTCCTCCAAGAAGCCACGTTTTTCCCCTTCTTCTGTAAAGTGATAAGTAACCCTTAAAACCAGTTTCATTCTGTTCACTGTTCTTCTCCAAGCCTAACCTCACAATGCATTCAATAAAAAAAGAGATCGTTAGACTTTTCATTTCACTTTCTTTATTTCAATTAAAAAAAAAAATTAGACATTTTTCTGGTGTCTAAAGGATGTAGTTTCTTGCAAGAGTCTACAAACATATGTTGGTTGTATTGCGGTGAATCCTGTATCAGCTGTGCCAGACAGAAGGGAAATAAATCAGTGCCTGTGGTTAAGGTACAGAGCACTTTATTCAGTGTTTAATGCATGTATGTAGAGAAAAAACACCACTTACGTAGAGCCGGGCAGAATTGTGGTTTGGAAAGGAGACTGCTGAAGTGGGGGTGGAGATACTGATTTTTGAAGCAACAATTTATGCTTATTTGCAGTGGGAAACCTGCATTCTTCAGTCCCCCTGTTTCTTTGCAGCGTGCAGTGAGTAGTCAGTGATAATTAGTTTGTGCAAGTGGAAAAGTCAGGTCACAGAAAAAAGATCCTTTTTTATACAATTGGTGGAAGCAGCAGGAGAAGAATTCTTGAAGTTATTATGGCATTTCCTCTTAGACACAGTCACTGCAGAAAGCAACAGTTCAGAAGGAATGGAGAGTTTAGAAGATGATCAGATGTCTGAAGAGATGCTGGCTTTGGTGGATGAGTTTGAAAACTCTTGGCCTCAGGAAGCTTTTGAAGGGGCACTGGAGGTAAAAGGTCGTCGGATGGGCTTGCAGGGAATCCGGGTCCTAAAGAAGGGTTCTCAAGATGGACTGGCTAGCTCTTGTTTTGGGGACTGTGGTGATGATGATGAAGCTGAATGGGTAAGTTTGAATGAGTTTACTTAAACTCCTGTACCAACATACTAGTGTGGAGGGAAAGACAAAGGATAGTTCAAGGGGTTTAACACTGGAATATACATAGGAACTTCCCCTGTGGGCCTAGAAGTTGGTTCATGGCTTGTGTGAAACAAACAATTGGTCTCAATCCTTTTTCTAAAGGAAAGGCCTCTGCATCCTTAAAACTGACATAGTAAGTCTTGTTTATCAGCAACAAGAGCTTAGGTGTTGAATGACGCTGGGTGCCTTCAGACTTCTTGCACACACTTACAAAAGAGAAGAGTTTTTAACCTAAAAGTTCCGGCTAGCATGAAAGCAATGAAAATTTCTGTTGTTGTCATGTTACAAACAAAATATGTAATGAAAAATGCTGTTCAGTTCTCCAGCATTGGTTTTCTCTTATGTTGGAGATTGAAGTTGTGTACTTTTTTTGCATGCTGTGATGCAGCGAAAGTGAGCAGGCTTAAGGACTGGGTTGAGGTGGGGAGGGAGAGAAAGATCTCATCTCTAATATCCTTGGAGGACTGGGTTGAGGTGGGGAGGGAAAGATCTCATCTCTAATATCCTTGAAATCGAATCTTTGGGCTAAGACAAGTAGTATATTTGAGCTGGTAATGTTTGTGGTGTTTCTTACTCTTAATCCATAATTGTTCTTTTGGTAGATCACTTTTCAGGTCAAACGTTTAAAGAAACCAAAAGCTGAAAACTTGGATCTCCGGGAACCAGTTGGGAGAAATGGGGAAGAAGGGACTAATGGAGAAAATGAAAACTTCTACCAAACTGCCCTGGAGATCAGTGGACCAAAGATACCTTCTCCTGGACCAACAGGTAACCTCTTGCTTCTAGAGAAAGTAAGTTGTTCGCAGCTTTTGTATTACTCTGGTTTATTTCCTTTGCAGTTTTTATAGTACACTGGTTGATTACCATAAATATGTGTTACAAAGACTATGTAGTGAAATATGCCTTATAGATGAATGCATGGAAAAATTAGAAATCTCTTCCATCTGCCCCTTCTTCATGAAGTGCAGCATACTTTTATCTGCTGAATGAACATTGTCTAGTTAATTTTTCTAACTTCTGGTGATGAGATGGTGAGAGTGGAGGATGAAAGAGGTAGATGCACTGAGTAGAAGTAGTAAGAGAGACAGGGTTTTAATGATCTTGTATTAAAAAACTGAATGGGCAGAGAAGTTAATCAGATTAGACACACCCCTTGGGGCATAAATGCAGGATGAGAGCTTGAATTGATTACTGACTAAACATAAAACAACTCAAAACCAAAAGGCAGAAAACTTGGTCTAATAAAAACAAAATAAATGAAAAAAACTAAGTGTCCTGCTGTAATTCATTTGGTGACATTACAAAGGAAAACTTAGAGACTGTCTCTTCCAGAAGGCTGGAGCTACAGAAGAGTAGGTTTTTGCACCAACACAGGTGAGGGGGTTTGGAGAGAGAGGTGGAGTTTTTGCTAGCTGAGTAAGAGGAAATGAGAGTGGTCTATTAACATGATGCAAGCTAGTTCCACTGGTTCATTCAAGAGGACAGAAATCCATCAGCACGTGATAGCTTGGGCTGAAATTTATTGCTGCTGGATCCTAATTATGCCAGAGAAGAGAACCAAAGTAATTAGCCCCCACGCTTTTTGTCTTACCTTGATTTCAATGGAGGTAGAATCCTCATGTTGCAGGGCTGATGTGTAAACAAAGATGTGTTGTCCAGTACCTTTTAGTCCTTGACAATTTGATGACCTAGACAGTGATTTCACATTTTGAAGGCTTTTACATTAAATCATTAACGAGTGTCTTTCTTAGCAACTAACAAATGTAAGTTATTGAATTAAGTATTTAAACGGGGAGGGAGGGGTACATGAAAACAGACTGTCATTTGTGAGCGTGCACCTCTCCTTTCCTTCACGTATCTTCTCTGCCTCTGAGCTACTGTGTCTCTATTACATATCATCCCTCCATTGTAAAGCAGTTATCTTCCTAACGCTCCTGTGAGGCGCAGGGTCTGCTGACACCCTCTTTGCAAGAACTAAATTCTCAAATGTTTAACGTGTTGGAGGTCACCTGAGGAATTCCTGGTACAACAGGGAAAATAATGCTAGTTGTACTGTCTTTGACTAGCACTCTGACTACTGAATGGTCTCTGTGTAGTGTTTCCATACCTCTCGCTATCTTTTGCTGTTCGTGCCAATAAGAACTCACAGTGAGATAGCTCACAGAGGTGGTGATGAGGACTGATCATTCCCCTCTGAATTTTCCCAGTGTTTATTGAAGTTAATTTTCCTTTAATTTTCCTTTACAAAAAATGTTGTATTACAGACCTTATCGTTAGTTTGCAAAATTATGGTGAATCACTTCACTGTATCTTGGATGGGAAATAGGATTTGCATCCAAATGGGCAACATTTCAGGTAACTAGAAGTAAATACTGAAATATTGCCTACATAGCTAGTGCAGTAGGCTGGCACGTTGTTAAACTTGGCTTCCCACTGTGCAAATGTACAGCTACAGTGAATTTTTCTTACATTCCAAACAGTTTGGATGTTTTTGATATGAAAATGTTTCCCAACAGTTAACACAAGCTGGATTCCTAGGGCTTGGTGTAGCATTCACCAAGCAGGATAAGGAAAAGATTTCAGTAGACTTCAGTTCAAATGTGAAGATCAGGTTCTTGTTTCTGCCAATGATGTCTTTGTTAACATAAAGCCTCAGTTAACTTCTCTGCAAAATGGGATGCTGAAGTGTAATTGCTAATAGTTCAGAAATTTGGCTGTCATGAGTGTAAGAGTGCAGCAAAAGCCACTGTGTGTCTTAAACAATATTAATTGAAAAAGAAACAGCAGTGTTTTTCAGCTGGGATTGTCAAAAGATGGAGCAATCAACTTTTGTTAGTTTGTACTGTAGCTATAGAATATTAATGATGACTCACTTATGAACTTTCTTTAAGGACATTTAAGTAGAGACATTACCTGTAAACAAGAGTGGCAGTTGTTCTTAATCTGTAGCTGTTGAAAAAGTTGTAATGAAACGTGTTTTAAAACTCCACCTCCTAATCTGTCTTGTAGGACACAGCTGGATCCTACACAAGTTGCATTCAGGAATGTTCTTAAAGAAATCTAGCTGCAGGACTATGACTTTCACATTGTAGGGAATGTATCCACTGATTTGTAAATTGCTCTACTGAAGTAAAATGCCTTCCTGCTCCTGGGCAGTTTTTTCTATTTCTTTCTTTCTTTCTTTCTTTCTTGCTCAAGGAAAAAGGCGTGACTATCGTAACCTTGGCTGGCCAAGTCCTGATGAATGCCTGAAACTCCGTAGGGTAGAACTCACAACAGTAGCCAGCACGTGGCTTGCTGTTTCTGCTAAAAACATTGAGTAAGTATCTTGTATATGTACCTTAAATAGGTTATTCACACAAAGCAAGACAGTTACATGGCCTTGAGTGTGCATAATTGTAGTGTTCTTTAAAGTAAGATAGAACTGCCAGGATTTCAAAGAAGTTTGATGACATTATGTGGTATTTCATAAATAGACTTGCAAAGAAAAGTGCAAGTGCAGAAGGAGGATCCAATTTCTTACTCAAGTGAGATTCTGCCAGGTGCTGAGCAGTTTGCACTCACTGGAGAACTTTGTAATGACTCCTGTTTTCTTCTGCTGACTGATTCAGCTTGTTTTATGACCTTTGTAGCATTACAGAACACATTGATTTTGCCACGCAGCTGCAAGAACCAGCCATGGAGCCCCTTTGTAACCCAAATCTACCAGCCAGTATGCATACTTTGGACCACCTGCAAGGTGTCTCTAGTCGGGCCAGCTTGCATTACACTGGAGAAAGTCAGCTGAAAGAGGTACGCCGCAGTTTTAGGCTGTCACACAAAAATGGCCATACCATGGCAGATTCAAGGCACATTTAGCTCAGTGCCCTGTCTCCAGAAGTGACCTTCAGTGAGTGAATGCCTAGATAGAACTGTAAGAACAATGCAAGTGGAAGGTGATACTTTACCAGAATGTTTTTCCAGTCATCTACAATCTGGACCGAGGGAAATCCTAAAACACCATGAATGTCTCTGTATTTATAGTTCTTGGTGAGTGAATTAGTGAAAGAAAAGTCTAACTGAGCGTACATAAACTTGTAGCATTCTTAATGTTCAGTGCCATGGAGTTGTAACACTGTGTGATGATACAGATAGGAATTAACTGAAGATAGACAGTGATGTTTAGGTTGGAACAGGTTACAGCATTTGTAAAAGGCTGGGGAAAAGAACAACCAACAAGTGAGAGACATCTCCTACCAGGTTCCAGCATCTAAGGACTTGTTCTTCCTCTTCCCCAGGTGCTACAGAATCTTGGCAAAGACCAGTACTCACCACAGTCATTAGAACAAGTTGGTACTCGAATAGCCAAAGCTTTGGAAAAGGTAGGTGTAAATGAGAAAAACGAGAAGTCTGGGGCTTACCTCTCGTGACTGACATAGTGGTCAATTCACTCTCAAAACCATTTGTCTGAAATCCCAGTCAGAGAACGTATTAGTACTTAGACTAGGGATTTGTGTCTATTTAGCATCTGTAATGCCCTCATAGGTATTTTGTTGAGCTATATATTGTGCATACACTGTCAGGTGTCTTCCGTATCTCTCTACTAAAACCTAAGCTGGTCACATTTCCCAGTGTTTCCAGCCCTGTAGTGAGCAGTATTGCTGGTTGTTGAGCTATTTCAGCAGTTCTCAGCCCTTCCCTTTCTTTCTGTGCTGCACTGATTTGGAGCTTATGGACAATTGAGTTAAGCCATAGTTTAGCTCCCTGGTCACACTCCTGGCACACTGCAGTCAGAGAGCTGACAGGCAGCATCTTCCTCTCTTCTCTGCCTACTTCCTTTTACCGCATGCACTGTTGGGCTGAAGCATCAGATGAGTTCAAGGGTGTCAGGTGGCACCATGTGCAAGGCTGTTCTTCCTGTTCTCCTCAAAGAAACCCAAACTTCCTTGCTAGATTACAGCTTTTAAGGACCTCAGCTGGAGAGATGACCAGGGATGTAAGTTTCCTAGGATATACGAGGTAGATAAGGATGCAGGGATTGTTGTTACACATTTACAGCTGATGGATATCCCAAGCTATTCTAGAAAGAGAGGGCTTAACCAAAACAGTTTGGTGCATCTAGTCTATTCCACCAAAAGCCATCTGAGGAACTTGAAATGCTTTGAAACTAAAGCAAAGAATAGCTTTGTTATTCAAAGAAAGTAAAGGTGTTATTCTTATGCTCATGTTACAAAATCTAGTTTCTTTTAACTTTAGATAATATACTTTTTCTCTTACGTGCTACAATTCCCCCTGAAGACAGCAAGCTGTATCCAGATAAGCTGAAAATTTAATGCTGAGACCAGAAACAGAATTCTCAGTAAGCTAGCTGTGTTGGAAATAAAATGCAGTTCTTCTGTCTACCAGTCTCATTCAGTATTCACAAGAGCTAATCAAACAAATCAAGATGGCTACTTATCTAATTGCATATGTGAACATAAACATTCATTTACTGTATGAGTCCACAGAATTCAGGCACACAGTATTTTGCTTTCTGACACGTGACATGGGAGTCAGCCAGCTAGAGGCACCAAACTTAATCAGCTAGGCTTTTCAGGCTTCCACTGTGAGCTGCATCCCAGAGCATCCTCTCTCTTTCCAGTGATTACAGAGCCTATGAGTCCAGTCAGTGAACTTAGCTCAATTTCTTGCTTTCTGTTGGGTAATACGTACACACACATCTAGATGCTCAGTGTCAGACAGCTGGTTAGAAGCTGCTGTGACTGCTGGAACTGTTGTTTGCTGTTTAAAGCTATTTAGCTTCTGTTCTGTTCTTAAGAAAATGATGTTGTATTTGAAATTAGTGATTTGTTTGACAATCCCATTTACCTGGCTGTTGCATGTATGTTGTTAGATAAGAAAGTTTTTGCTGCTTTGAAATAATTTAATGCTGATTTTAAGTGTAATGCCCTCTACCCTAATATATCAAATGAATTGGAAGAGTGAAAGACAAGACTGTTCACTACAGGTGTTTACATGACTGGTTTTTGTGTTCTTTTACCAGAATCAGACTTCCTGGGTCCTCTCTAGCATGGCAGCTCTTTACTGGAGAGTAAAAGGCCAAGGAAAGAAGGCGATTGATTGCCTACGGCAAGCATTGCAGTACGCACCCCATCACATGAAGGTCTGTACCCATGTGCCCACAACTCGGATGAAATAATGTTGTGCTTGTCACAACAGAGCTTGCACAGACTGTTGTTAAGGCCAACACTCTGTGTGCCAAGTGTCTATGCTGTATTAGATATGAGCTAGTTGTGGTGAAACCTCAAGACTTTCGCCACCTTTTTGGTGTGGACTGTCTCTTTTAAAAATATAATAATAATAATAAAGACAACTGTGAAAGAGGTTCAGTGGAATTTCCTGCAGTTCAGTGGATTTGACCCCTGTCTGGACAATACAGGCTTGAACTGGTTGTAGGACTTTGCATTTTCATCCGCCTTTGTCTGGACAAGTCCAGATCTAAGATGTGAGGAGTGTATTTTCTGGTTATGTTTTTAAAAAAGGGAGTATATCTTCTGCTCGTGCTTTTAAGGAGGGAAGGAGGTGATATCTAAAGGAATAATTTAAATGCTTAAATCTTAAGTGTTTGGGCTGTGAATCTCAGCTGGACACTAGTGCCTGGCTTTGCACAGCAGTTCTGTGCTTTACTCCAGAAAAGGCAGGATTTTGGACATAACCTGTTTAGTGTTTCGGTTGACTAAAGCGCTTCATAACTTTCACCTTGCCACATGTTATGGTGAGCGTTATAATGTCTGTTCTCATACACCACTCTCCCCCTTGCAGGCTGGTAAATGCCATACAGGCTTCTCACTCAACACTGAGGATTTCGCTTTGGCACCTGAGCAGCAAATTGTGCAGCATTGCAGAATATATACTCCTTCTTGAATCTTGATCTTAAATCCTTCTCTGAAAATCAGGAGAGAAAATAATTTACACTCTCAGGATATTATTAGGAGGTTTTAGCCATTAACAGTAGAAATGCCTCAGCTAAGAAATGCACATCCCCACTGCACATCCTATGTCTCTGTCTCCTATAATTCTGTCTCATCACAAGTGTCCTTTTAAAACAAGGTTGGATCTTGCTTATCTTCTTGCTGTCTTTCTGTGTAACTGGGGATGTTTCCTCAGAAGTGGAGCCCTTAGCCGTGTGACTTGTAAGGGTCAGAGTATGGATTGGGAACTACAATTTGGCAAGATTATGGTGTAGCAGTGCTGTTTTCTAGAAATGAGATATAATGTTGCTCGGGACTGGCGAACTCTCTGCATTTCTGCCTTGTTTTTGTCCTCCGTACTTTAACTGCCTCCAGGAAAAAAACTGTGGGTCTTGTTCGTAAAGATACGGCTGCAACTTGAACTCAGAATTAGCACTGAATGAACAGCTATTTAATATTTTGTTTTATCCTCCTCTTTGGTTTTTTGCAGACTCACATAAAGTTCTCTTGCCTTTTCTCATGTAAATAAAAGGTAATTAATTTTTCTGTGGGCTGCCTTTGTGATTCTGACTTCCATAATACCTGCTTGGCAAACATGAATGGCATCAACCAAAGGTACTCCTTGCCTTGTAGGGATCAAGGGGGCAGGGATCAAATACATCCAAAATTTTTTGTGGTCCTGTTGAGGGCACCTAAGACTTGCTACTAAGCACTATTTTGTCCTTTGAAGGTGTGAAGCCCAGCTCCTGGAGAGACTGTTATGGCTGTCAGGGCTCAACAGTTTTGTCAATCAGCCAGGGTCATGTTTATTTATAGCTGTTGTCCAGCATCATACAGGAATTTTGTGGTAGAGGCAGAATAAAAAACAGTGCATCAGTTGCACTGATGGTTAGACCCTTTTTTCATTTCCTTGCTGTCCCCTTTGATTCATATTCCTTCCCCTTTTTGTGCAGTAGCTGAAGGAGGGTGGTCAAAACCAGCTTCACTTATCTCTGAGAATGCATCTGATATTTGGGGATGAAATTATTTAAGAGCATCTGAAAAATAAACATACATACTAGGACACAAGTTTAATTTTTGAGTTGTCTGTGCAACAGTAGTGAGTTTTTACTATTGGGAGTAGATGTGTGTATCTGAGGGGGTTTTGTTTATAACTCAGATCCAAATGTCCTTTTATGGTAAAATAGGTCTGACTCATCACTTTGAAAGTCTCCAGATAGCGGAGTGGGCAGTAACCAAGTGAGAGTGGCCAGGTGGTGAGTCCTTTGTCTTGCAGATCCTGAGACAGTTTCAGTGAGGAAAAAACCCACGCTGTCTATCTCTTGTTCTTCTCTTCCAGGACGTACCACTAATAAGCCTAGCAAACATCTTCCACAACGCAAAACTCTGGAACGATGCCATCATCGTGGCTACCATGGCAGTGGAAATTGCGCCGCACTTTGTGGTTAATCATTTCACGCTGGCAAATGTCTATGTCGCAATGGTGAGTGTGCCATCACCCAGCCGTGCCTTGTCTTCGGTACAGTGTGTATATAGATAGGTATGTAAATAAAAGATCTTCTCACAAATAATTTTTGAGGAGCAACATTCAAGAAATTAGAATAGGATCAACAAGAAAGAATATTTTTTTTGAATGCCAAAACTCTTACTACTCATTTTACTCTTATTATTCATTTAGCACTTGAAGGCCAACACATATTTATAAGCTGGCTTCAGAATGCTGTCTGCAAAGCTTTGTTAAGACCACAGCAAACCATTGATAATTTTTGTTGGCTGCCCGTCTAAACACAGAATATTTTTACAATACTGGAAAATTAATGATAAATTGGGTCTTTGTCCTGAAGAGCTGAGCGTAGCATAAGAAGTAAAACCCAGTTCACAGTCGTGATGAACAAACACAAAGGAAGTTTAATTTCAATATCTGGACTATCAACAGCCAAAATAATTTACAGATTGAACCCAAATTTCTTCATACTTATTTACATATTTTAATCTGCAATTTAGCTTTTAGTGCTTACTCTGAACAGAATATGTTCATTCCTTTTATCTTTCCCAACACTGGATTGGTTCCTCTGTGTGTCATCGTTATCTTTAATAGGGCCAGTATATTCGAAGGGTAAAAGGCACCATTAAACTGAGACACAGTTGATGTGTATGCCTGTGTCAAAAGTATTTTCAGTTACACATGTTCCTGTATACCCCTGGCAGTTTTCAGCACTTGTCACAGATTTGTCCTTAGTGTTTTGCTCCCGTGGTTGCAGGGATGACGGAGATAACGGGGCAAGGTGAGCAGGTAATCGTGTATCATGGCTATCAGGGTTGAGAAGAGTTGCAACGCACAGTGCTGTCGAACACGCAATGGAAACAAACTGAAGAAAGGCATGACTTTGTTCTATTAGGGTATTACTTCTGGCAGGTGTTTGAAAGAAATGAAGTGGAATTTTGACGCTTGAATTGCCAGTGTCTTTTTAAAGTTAGCACAGTGCCTAAGGATAACTTCATTCTCCCTGAATCCAAGAGATTTCTCAATGAAGCCCCGTATTCATTAGATGAAATGGCTGCAGCCAAAGGACAAACATTATCTTCTGCATCAAATTATACGAACGTAAAGACAAGTTAGTTTGTTTACGTCATATTTAACCTCCTGTATTTGAGAACTGACTCTGACTAACAGGTCGTAGAAGATGTCATGCTAATTAACAGTACAGCATGGTAGAGGCCAGCATTTCTTTATTTGTAGAACTTTATCGTAAGTTGCCGTACAAAGGGGAAACAGTTGGGCCACGTTAAGGACTGTGAACTTTAGATGGATGCTATAGAAACTGTTGATGTAGGAACCTAAAGGAACATCAGAATAATATCAGATCACAGCTAGTGTAAATTATTATATCTAAAAACGGAAAAATCTGATTCTCATTTTCATTGCTCTTTGCCAGTGCTCCCGCAGGTTAATTTGTGATTTTTCTATGTAATTTCTGTTGAAACTCTATTAAAAATACACTTTTTTAAAAATTCAAGACTTTGCAACTCACATTGATCTAGTTACTGTTTATAATGTTATTAGCAATGAATATTATCTCTACTGTACAAATAAAGCTACTGAGAAAAGTAACTTAAGAGAAGAAAAACAGCGCTGAAAGTGACTGAAAAACACAGTGTTTTGGATCTTTTGCCCTCTCGTTTCTCTTCTAATACACTATTGGATGTTGGCATGCTTTCCCAGTTAATAAAAAAGTGGGGTGGCATACTTAATTAGATTTCAGTGATATAAAAATAGACGTTATTTCAGCATGAGTGCTTCTTACTGCTGTTCTGGAGTCCGCCTTAGCAGTTGACATTGTCTGGCTACTGTATGCTCTTTACGTTTAGGGGTTTTTTTGGTGGGTGTTTTTTTTTTTACTTTCTTTGAGTAGTCCTTTAAAAATAATTTCAAGTTATTTCTAAAAATGTTAGTTTTTCAGCGAAGTTGGTGGTTTTGCGTTGTCCGTGATTTCAGAGCTTTGACCTATGTAAATTCTGACTGAAATTTGTTTTTAAAAGTTACTTTTACAGCAAGAATGCAAAGATCTATTAGTAAAAGGAAAAGATGAGAACATTAGTCAATTATGCTTCCATGAATTATACAGAATTGGGTCATTGGCCCAAGAAAATATCAGAGTTATTTGGAGAGTCAAAAAAATCCTAAACCACAAGGATAGTTACCTTTGTGCATACCATACTACTCAACTACTTAAGACAGGAAAGGCATAGAAAATGTGTTTACTGTTTTTAGAATCTGACTCTTTGCAATGCTCTTTCTTTACAGGAGGAGTTTGAAAAAGCCATGAAATGGTATGAGTCAACACTAAAACTTCAACCAGAGTTTGCCCCAGCAAAGAATCGAATCCGCACCATTCAGTGTCATTTACTCATGAAAAAAGAGCGACGGTCTCCTTAGAGATCAGAATCTTTCTCTTTTTTTAAAAATGTCATTATTCTCTATTCTGCTTTTAAGTGTGCTAAGACAAATTGATGAATCAAAATTTTTAACAAGACTTTTAAAAAGAGATGGGATTTGGATCGAGGGGTTTTTGGTTGGGTTTTTTTTTTTCTCCTCAAATATAGGAGCATCTTTGGAAAATATATTTCACAGGCCATAATTTTAAAACATCCATGTAAATATTAAACCAAGAAACTTCCATAAGTCCATGACCACCTGTACCAGGACCCAGGCACTGTTAGTTTTTCCTTAATGCTCAGATTGGCATCAGCATCCAAAAATAACTTGCTTCGTGTGTTACAAGTCAATGGAAATGCAAAGCACACACCCGTACCAAATAGTAAGAAGAGATAATCAGTAATTTATCCATGTGGAACTCATGCTTTGTCCGCTCTTGTTCACTCTGTACCACATTACCTGCTTTTTTGGAAGGAGAGGGGCAGGATTTTAAATGTTTATAAAAAGCATTAGGAACATCAAGCATTTTTGGAATTGCTTTTTCCTGTTGGGGGAGGAAATGAGGAGGGAACAGCAGGACACTAAAGTCAAAGTGGGTTTTAATCTTACTTGCAGAAAAAAAAACTGGTGAAAATCCCAAAAAGATGTTTTATATTTGTCTGTATATTCATAGCCCTCTGCCTCCCTGAGTGGTTGATTTACTAGTTCTTTGTTCACTATATTTCTAGCCATTTCAGAATAAGGTGCAAGTTTATGCTCACTCTGAGCTGTGCTTTTAGCTGCCGAGGAGGAGGGAGGCAGTGTCAAGGTATCTTCAGCAAATAAGTCAGGTGGAAGATTTCCAAATCAGTTCTCTCTTTGGTTGGTGGAGGACATGATTCTCCCGACATCATTGTTGAGTCAACAAGGGCACATATTTGAAATAAAATAAATTGTTTATGAACAAATCACAGCTTCTCCTCTACTGTGTGTCATGCGCTGCTTGCAAGAGTCTAGGCTTGGGAGCTACGGCCTTTCCTCAGGAGCAAACAGAGCTGGGAGACAGGAAAGTCTTTAACACTCCTGAGTAGACAATGATTTTCTATGTATCTGTGGAAAACTCCCTGCACCTCTGTTCCTGACTCCTTTTTTGTGGCAGAAGGGAATAAGGGAAAGAACTAAATCAGCTGTCTGTCACGTAACCTACCCTCCAGCTTTTAGTGTTAAACATACTGCTTAGTGATTCATTTTAAAGAACTAACAATGCTTATGAACTCTTCTTTTTCTCTTCCTTTAATCTTTTTCCTCTTGCAGTGGTACAGATTAAGAACAACTATGGTAGTGGTGGAAACTATGACGTCAATGTAATTTAATACTGTAACTTTTTTACTTCATAAAAGGATCCATGAATATTTTTATATAAAAATGAAGATGAGCAGTTCTAATGCAAATTTTACTGTCTGTTTTACTGCAAGTAATTTTTGTTCATCTAGAAAGCCTGACAGAGGTATGAGCAAGTGCTACTGCTGAGTAGATTTTTATTAAAAATGGGTGAATATGTTACATCTTTGTTAACAGAGCCAACAGCGTGTCAAAGCCTTCACTTCCCAAAGCTACTTGGAAGCTGGATGTTGTTGATGGGAGATGGGCATAGCTCTATCTGTATATATTCCAAGAGGAAGATCGCTTTTTGGAAGGTCTGAATACACCGCCACTAGGCTCATGGGTTGGGATAATGAATTACAGAGATTTCTTACAGAGGTGTGGGAGGGGAAGCCGGTAAATGAAAGCAAGTAAATTGAAAGAACTTGGATTTGAGCTGGAAAAAGGTAGAGCAAAGGCGTTTTCTTGATCTAAAGCAATGCAGAGAGAGGCTGCTTATATTCAGTGTCGTTAACTGAGCTGCTTTACTTTTAGAGTGGTTGATAAATACTTGGGAGTCACTTAAATATATTTGGTAAATCCTCTATTTCATGTGCTAGTTCTAAAATGTAACATGCAAAAACGTCTCTTGATACAGAGGATTCACCTTGCTGCTTGGTTTCCTAATGTGTCATATGGTCAGATCGAATTGCTTCATGCTGAACTCCTTTCTACTGCGTCTGTCTCACCGGTGATGGGAGGCATCAGCATTGAAGTGAAGAGTAAGGGGGGTCCATAAGAACCTAAAGCAGCAGTGTGTGAGTACAGGTGGTCATCCTTGGCATTGATAAAAGATGGAATTAAAACAGACCTTTTCTGGAACACCAAGGATTGCGCTCATAGACAGCGCTGGTGGGCACTTAAAATCGGCCATGAACACTCATGGCAGTTTACATCTGGCTTACTTCAGTCTTAATTTATGTTTTATTAAGAAATGCAGCAAGGTGCGCTGTATATTGACATCATACAAAAGGCAGGAACACTGGGGTTTGTGTGCATTACCATACTATAAATGGGTATTGCCACCAAGGAGAGAGCACCCTTTTGCTCTTCCTGCTCTCTTTGCATTCCCAGGGAATTTGCACCGTATCGATGGTTCTTGGAAGCTACAGTTGTCTTGACTTCATGTTAATTTTTTTCTGATTCTTGGTTAAGTACTTTAAGGGAACGTGCACTGCCTTACTCTTACAAAATTTTATGTACAGCTGTTCATTTGCTACTGGGCTAGTCTATGCTTAATCTGCCACACAAGTAATTTTAAAATAGCTCATGCTTCCCTCTTCCCTAAAACTTCTGAAAATACAGTTAATTCCTCTTCGTGTACTGCATAAGCAGCACATAAAACTGAAGCAGGGAAGCCAAAAGATCTACTGGAGAGCATAAACTTGACCTAATGCCAGCACTAGAGCGTGTGTCTTCAGGTTTTCACCCACTGTGGAATCTACTGGGGAACGCTCGCTCCCACCCTGGAGAAAGCGAACGGAAGACTCTCCTTTTTCATCTCCCTGTCTTCAACCCTCCTGCATAAATGCAAAGAACGGTGGGTTTGAGTGGTTTGGCTGCATTCAAACGTTTGTGAAAGAAAAAATAATTACGTTGATCTTAGGAACAGAAGACAAGTGGGGTGGCATGTTGGAAGGGAAGCCAGTGAGTTTTATAGAGCAATGGTGCGACTCCACAGGATGAGCTAGCTCATCTCAGCGTAAGGGTGACATGCGTCTTCTATTTAAGCTATTTTAAAGTACGCTGAGGTAGTTGTCTAGGCTCTATCTTCGGTACATAGAAAGATGATTATCTTGAGAAAGCGATCCACCCTCCCTGTTGTGGAGCGTGGTAAGTCGCCTGTTCCTTTCCATTGACTGTTGAGGTACCTTTGACCAACTGAACTTCAGTACGATTTCTGATAGTGAGACTTTGTAATGCGTTCCCTATGACTGGCTCTGCTAAGCATATCACCAAAGCAGTCAAATTTAAGGATGACATAGTCGTAGGAAAATGGCAAAATCCTCTCTTCTCCAAAGAAGATTGTCAAGTTGTTTTCAGACCGTACCCGGAAATGAAGTGTAGATGGGTAAAAAAATCTCAATTTGTTTGCAGATAGCATCATGCTCCTGACCTCCTTTTGAGGGCAAAAGCTACAGGGACAGAATCAGATACTCCAGTCTACGTCGTGGTGGTTTTGATGCACAGTTGATGGCATAGTTATACTGGTGAGGGCTGAACTGATGCCATAGAAAAAGAACACCCCAAAAATGCCATGTTGGCACCCAATGTGACCATTCAACAACCTTTACAACGCAGAAGAGGCTGGGATCCTAATTTCCATCACCTGTGGAGACCTTGCATCACCTACAATGGCCAATTTTCGTAACAGACTGAAAATACTAATGAGAAAAGTTGTCTGATGGAGCTTAGAACCTCCTTTCCCCACTGTCTTAACCCTCCCTCCTTCCCTCTTACAGTGAGAAGATTAAAACCAAACAAAAAGCCCATAACCTCTCCCTAACAGTGATCTGATATCGCCGAAGATGCTGTATTAGCTCTGCTGTGATATTGTGATGCTTTTGCTCTCTGCAGTTTTCAGTAGTTGCCACGAACTTGTCTGGCTAGCAATTTAGGACCATCTTGGTTTAGACCTGCTTCCCGAATAGCAACATTCCTATCCTTATCCCAGAGCTGTCCTCCTGTATGACTTCAGGCAAGGTTTTTCTCCTCCTCACTGTACCTCTCTTCCTCCCATGTGTTGCCTGATGTCTTTTTAGAATATATGGGGTTTTTTGGAGCCGGGATCATTGCTGTTTATTTCTTTGTATGAGAAACAGTTGTAGTGCCAGAGAATACGAATAGTAGAAACGCAAATTAAAACCAGCTGCATGGAGACCTGTGAAGCAGGGAATAGGATGAGTTTTGTAGTCTCTGTATCAGCACTGAAAGAGTGAAAATGCTGTAGAAGAACTTCCCTCGGTGTTCAAAAGAATGCTAGTTCCTCCTCTGGAGATCTCTCCGGATGTTGTGTGGCAGGTTCAGGGTGGTCCTCCCGTCTCAAGCATCACTTGGAGATGTCCTTCTGGAATGCTGCAGGTTGCCTTGATTTCTTAGAGGACCAGCTGGCCGTGTTTGGGTCAACGAGACTCTCTCAAATGACACGCCCCCAGAGAGCCAGGTAGTCACTCGTGGGGTTGCTTTTGATGATTCCCCCCGCTCCCCTCTGTTTGCTGGATGTACTGAAGTGTGTCAGTACTGATTCAAACCAAGCAAGTGGGTCTGTGAACACTGAGGCTTACGAAGTTTTCTTACCCATTTGTGGTCTCCTTGCTGAAGTATGATGGCTGGTCATCTGTGAGAGCCAACGGAAGGTTGTCCTGCAAATGACTGCAGTGGGCTTAAAGGCGATTTATTTTTATTATTATTTTTCAGGGGATCTGCACACGAGTGGTACAACCTATATCCCCTATGTAGAATGTTAAGAAAGTGAAAGTCTGAATTGAGGTGGTTCTTGTACATTAAGCTTTTCTCACTTTTAAGTATTGGAAAGCTCAGGATTGATCAGGAACAGTGTTTTGATAAGGCTGACTGCTTAAAAAAAGCAGCCCCTCAAA